GACACAGAAACATAAAGCAGACAAGACAAAAGCAAAATAAGCACAGACCGACACCGACCAGGATCGTAACACAGGGAGTGAGCGAGCAAGGAAGTGAGTTGCTTGATAGAGGCTCCCTTCCAAATCTCTTAACAGCTGGTCGTGCACGGACAGTGTACTGGTTCACTTATCTTTTCCAAAGAGGATGGTGACATCTACCTTCTACCTTTTTAGAAGTAAATAGAAAATCACTAAGAAGTGGAAGAGTGAAAGATGCCATCCCGTTTTAGGTCATTAGCTGACTAATCAGACGCTGGATTGTGTAAATTAAGAAAGTTAGTTGTTAATTGTTGGAATCTGTTTTTCAGTAGCTGAGTGGCAGTGAGACTGTGAATAATGATGTGATTTGATTGCTGAACTCTGTCATGGAGAAGCGTCATGGACAGTCAGAGATCTTCATCTTACCTCTGAGGGACTCCCTCCTCTCTGTCTTCACTCTGATCCATAGCAGAGCCCACAGCTGCTGCAGAGCTGCACTCTGTCACCGCAACAACACTGAGGATGTTCAGCTGATCCACATCCGGTCACAGAGACTCTGAGCTTCAGCTGGAGAGGAAACACAGAGAGAGAAGATGCTTCAGTCTATTTAATGAGAGACTGTTATCACCACAGTCTACAGACATCAGGGGCCACATTAGATCTTCCCTCTACTGGATGCATCACAGTCCACAGCTGCTGCAGAGACGCACTCTGTTACTACAAGCCTCTCGTCACAGGACACATTAGTTCTCCGTCCTCTATCTAAAAGTTACTGTAGGAACAGTGAATCAGCTGCTCCAACCTTCAGACACACTGAGCAGGTGCACCTCAGAGAGCCGTGCAAAAGAGCTTTCAGTCAAATCAGTCCTGCTTGCATGTTGGAAGATGGTTGCATTTTGAATAAACACATCACAGCAGGGAGATCCAACCTGTTGGACCAGTTCAGACACACCCTAAATTTTTCACTGATGATGTGAGTTCAGTCAACAAACTTCTTCATGAAAACTGAAAACATTTCTACCTGTTAAATGCAGGTTTCTCCTTGCCTGGCCAAGTGCTTGCTCATGGTGGGAATTGTTGGGTTTCTGTTAATAATAATAATAATAATAATAATAATAATAATTGAAAGAGTAAAATCTAGACCTGCTGTAAATCAAAAGTGCAACGAGATAACTTCTATTATGAATTGGCGCTTAATTGAATTAATACATGCATAACATTCTCACAAACATCCTCTCCATTAGCTCAGATAAAAAGGCTTAGTGCAAATGTGAAGAATTAAACAGGTTTAAACAAGGTTAAACATTTCAACTGCGCAGTCAAACAGTGAGACAACACAATGTCACCAAAGTGATCCTGATTATCTAACATCTAGATTTCTCCTGTTGGATTCTCACCTGCTGAACTCACTTCGGGCAAACTTTCAGACACTTTCCACCTTCATGTGTAGAGGAAACACTGGCAGAGAAGAAGCTGCTTTGTCATCCTCGTCTGTTTTGATCTGAGGACGCTGTCACATCCTCATAACTTCACTCCGAGTCTAAAAATAAAGATATCAAATTGACGTCAATACGAGACTAACCTGCAGAAACCCAATCAGAGAAGTCACACATCAGACTATGGAGTTCCACTAGCTGTCCACTAGGGGGTGGTCTCAGGGGTTTTTGAATGCTATGTTTGGCCTATGCAGAGGTGCAAAGTGACTAATATAACTAACTATAACGGTGGTCCAGTGGATAGCACTGTGGCCTCACAGCGAGAAGAGTTTGCATGTCCTCCCCGTGTCTGCGTGGGTTTCCTCCACCATCAAAAACATGTTAGTTCTTCAGTCAGTGCAATTGACCGGGCACTGGTAAAGATCTGGAGTTGGTTCCCGGGCGCTGCACAGCGGCTGCCCACTGCTCCCTCGAGGGATGGGTTAAATGCAGAGAATGAATTTCGTAACATGTATGTGACAATAAAATGTCTTCTTCTTCCAATATAATTTACTCAGTTGTAGTTTAGTCAAAAATAGTTTTCTCACTTTTTCTTATTTGCTTCCTTATGTATTTTCGTATTTAATTCTTTATTTTCTTCCTTTAAAACTGTCATTAGAACTGTCCCAATACATCAGGCAGGCTGGTATTAATTTATTGCAGACATATCAGTATCAAAAAACTCAAACCGTCTCCTACTCCCCAGAACTAAGCTCAAAACCATGGGTGATCGTGCCTTCTGCTCTGCCCTCCCTGACCATCTGAGGGCACCGCAGACTATTGAAACTTTTAAAAAAGGACTAAAAACATTTCTTTTTAGCAGAACTTATGAGTTTTAACCTTGCACAATAACATTGTTGCACTATTTATCTATATTTTACACTGATGTTTTTTCCTTGCTTTTATGATCTGACCTGTAGCACTTTGAGGTTTGTCTTAAATGTAAAATGCATTATAAATAAAATGTATTATTATTATTACTATTATAATAGTGTGTATGTTGGCTAATATCCGATCCCCCTGTTGCCAGCAAAACAAAGTTGCGAGGTGGGGCCTCCATGGATCAGACTTGTTACATCCCACAGATGCTCGATTGGATTGAGATCCCCATATTCAAAAACTGCAATGCTCAGTCAACACTCACCTGCGGTAGCTCATGTGTTGGATCAAACCACACGGGCCAGCCTTCGCTCCCCACGTGCATCAGTGATCCTTGGCTGCACATGACCCTGTCGCCGGTTCACCGCTTTTCATTCCTTGGACAACTTCTGATAGGTACTGACCCCTGCAGACCGGGAACACCCCACAAGAGCTGCAATTTGGAGATGCTCTGACCCAGTCGTCTAGCCATCACAGTACGGCCCTTGTCAAAGTTGCTCAAATCCTCCTTTTTCCTGCTTTCCTTGCTGAGGACACCGATGTTCACCTGCTGCCTGATATAATATATACAAAAATCATGCTTCACTAAGTACTTCAACGTCACAAGGTCATTTCTATGCAGACGACTCACAGATAGATCTTCCCCCGAAACCTGCTGATGTCAGATCTCAGAAATCATATTGTTCAGCAGTGATAATAACCTTGGTCCCCTGTCTGCTAAAGTTGGCTTAGAAAGCCTTTATTGTCATTCAACTGCACATTCAGATTGTACATTTCAGCGAGATTGCGTTGTAAGGTTCCCTGTTCGCTTTAGAATTGATTTTAAGATTTTACAATTTTGTCACCCTGACTATCCACACGGTAACTTTACTGTGTTGGTCAACATCTACTTCCTGCCTGTCTTTGTGATTTCAGGCTGTCTGAACAAAACTTGACATGGAAGCAGTACGCTGCTGTACATTTAATTATATAAATACTATCCTCGATACAAACCTGTTCCCAAATATCATGAAGTAATAAAAAGTAAATTCCAGCTTCACAGGTGTCAGTGCTTTACTGAGTTATTTGGTTGTCTTTTAAAGATCAGTCAATGTTCCAGATTTTATGTGTTTTATAACTCAGAATTTGTGATTGATCAAATTAATTAATCACAATAAAATGCAGCTTGGTCCTGTGGAAGTGTGTTAAATTTTTATTTTAACTCTTGACTGATGTGCAGACTATTTTCACAGTTAATCATTTGATGTATTAAATGTCAGGAAACCCAAAGTGACGTCTTCTGATTGTCTTGTTTTGGAATATGTATCTGAAACTTAAACATATATAAAACTGCTTCAGGTACTTTCACTGAGACTGACCTAAAACTGAATTGAAAACAGCTGTTTCAGGGAGTCAGAAACAATCAGGTAGTTTATCTGAAGCTGACTACAAATTCAACTTAAACTAATAAATAATACATTTAATATATTATATAAAAGTAAAAATAAGTTTATTTCCAGAGCTTGTGACAAAAGTTTTCACCTGTTTGCTGTTCGATGAAACGCGCAGCAGAGGGCAGCAGAGACTCACCGAGCTTTCAGCTGCTACATGAAGGAAAAGAAGAGATTCAGTTTGAGTGTTCAGAGTTTTACACCTTTTTACTGACAGGACAGAAAACAAGCGCTCGCTGTTCAGTCAGACGTCTGCAGACTCAAGTCAAAGTAGTAATAAAGTGAAATAACGCCTCGAATGCAATAACAGTAAAATTAATTTGTTTTTACTTTCACTTTCACTCTCACTATCTGATTTGTTGTTTATTGTTAATCATTGTAATTCTATATTGTTATATTTTGTTAATTTATATATTATGTTCACAATATTCTCTTCCCTTGCACAAACCGGAGTAATGCACATGTAAATAACGTTGTTCTTTCTCTGCACATAGTTGTATTATTTTTATCTATTCTTTTATAATTCTTATATAATTTGCATTTGCTGATTCCACATTTATATATTTCTAGATTTATTTATGTCAGCTGTATGTTTGTCTGCCTGTAGCACCTCATCACCAAAGCAAATTCCTCGTATGTGTAAAACCCTACTTGGCAATAAAGCTCCTACTGAGTCTGATTCTGATTAAATTCAACTTTGTCACCAGTTAAAACAGATTTTTTTAAGTCGAAGTCACGTTTTACACACAGTGGCTGAAACCGGCTGAAATCACATCCGTCTTCTTTGGTTCAGACTGAAATGTCTGAGCAGCTGTTGGATGGAGATGAAACGAGCTTCAGACCTTCTTGCTCCTCTCAGGATGAACTGAAAGAACTTCAGACATCAAAGACAAAAAGGCTGCGACTGCGAAATACCTTTTAACTTCAGTGTCAAGCCCAATAAACTTCTATCAGAGTAAACTTAATTATTCTTAATGATTAAAAGTCACTTCTCAAACTTCAGATCTTCAAGTTTCTGTAATATTTCTACAGTCCGTCTTTGTTTTCTCTTCCAAATAAGTTCTATAAATTTACAACAATGAAACGTGAATTAATGTCATTAATTAAGGTCTTTGTCGGGCTGGTGGTGAGAATTAACTTCTGCAAGTGAAAACATTTAAATGATGGAGTAAAAATCCCACTTTCGTGATAAAGTTTGGTATTTCTGAGCTGCAGCTCTCTCCTGAGGATGGATCAGTGTTTGTTGGATCAAAGTCAGTATTTGATGTGAAAATATTGGTTATTAATTACTCCCCAGCAGACTCACATAGACACATATTTGTGATGTGTGTAATCTCACATGAATTCATGTTTGGTAATTAAATCCAGTGGAAGTAGGATAAAAAGATTCCTCTGCTGCTGCTCCAGGTTGTTTTTCCTTTAATCGTTCGTATGTTTTGTATTGTTTGTTTGCTGCTAATTTTTTAATTAAAGATGCTAATTTTACCTCCAGCAACAGTCGCTAATTTGCATTTCTCCCGCAGAAAAAAAGCAGAAAAGAAACAGCTTTCATAGATATTGTGCTGTTTATACAGAGAGAGGAGGTTCAGACTGAGGAGAGAGAGCGAGCAGTGAATGGAAAGTTCACTAATCAATATTTTGATTTTAACAACAAGAGTGAGAATTATCACCAACTCTGCAGCTCTACACAACTTTTAATCCTCTGTAGGCTTTTTAAACACATTCAACAGCAAAACATGTTATGAGGGCCCGAACATGAAACTTGCTGTTCCACCACAGACTAATATCTCAGCTCCACTAACTGACAGTTGGACCCTTTCTTTGTTCTGAAAAAGCTCAAATTTTTATTTAAACACACTTTTTTCACTTTCTAACTAAACTCAGTGAAAAAAGCTTTCTGCCCCCTGGTGGTCAAATGTGATCTGCTGCACTTTAACCGTGCAACACACTGGGGGAAGCCCTGTAGCGTCATTTATGAATGCTAAAGGTAGGTGTGGGATATTTAACAGAAAGGTCCTAGTAAAGAGGTGGACAAAGGGCCAGAAACCGGACTTAAACGAGGAGACCGGTTGGTGTTTGTTTCCTGAGATAAACCCAAAGTCAACGTTGAATGTTTTTATATAAGGTGTGTAAGTTATGCAAGTGACGCAAGTTAACAACCGTACGTAACAATGAAGTACTTCTGATGCTAAACTGAACCAAAGCGCGACGTTTCACAAAGGTAACATTGTGCCATATGAAAATGGCGATGTTTTGCAACATTAACAAACTTTTATTTTGAAAGTCAAACTGTATGTTAGCTACATATTTACTGTTGCTAACTTGACCGCGGAGATGTAACATTAAAAAACAACGGTAAAGGGTCCCCAGGGCATTTAAAGGCAACACCAAGGGGTCTGACAAAACGTCCATATGTGAATGTTAATCTGAATGCATAAAGATCACAGATACTGGAGATACAAGGTTTTCACTTCAGAGAGACAATGTGCATTTACAAGTTTACAACTGGACTTGTTTTTGTTTGTGTTTGTTTGTTGTTGTTTTTCTCCTCCCCAAGCCCCCCTCTCTGTTCTCTTCCAGGTTTCGTTGCTTTCTGCAGTTGGTGTTTCCCTCTGCTTTTCCTTGTTGTCCCCACCTTCCATCCCCCTTCTCTTGCAGGTGTTGTCCTTTCTCTGTGATGTCTGTTTGTGCCCCCCCATCCCCGTGTCTGCCCCCCTGTCCAGCCCGGTGACAAA